ACTGCCCAAGCCCGCTGCAAAACTTGAGATCCTTCTGCCGCAGTTTCCTGAGTTTCTGGGATTACAGGTGTGTACCACTGCACCCAGCTCAAATTTTTTGGTAATGGGGATCAAACCCAGGGCCTCACACATGTTAGGCAAGCGCTTTACCACTGAGCTACATCCCCAGCCCTCTTGGGCCAATAACTTTTTATCAGAAGATGACTCATCATTTGATAAATTCTGTTTATTTGGGAACTGCTTGTATGTGACATGCCAGCAATTGACTGGCATGATGGGTAGTATCAACATTCACATTTCTTAGGATAGTGAAATCAAGTTCAGAGAGGCATTGATCAGGGCTACATAGTCTTAGGGGGCTATATTAGGATTTGACCCTGCTCTTTTGTTTGTGTTTTCACTGATCTCATTGATTTTATTCATTCAGTGAAGTGTGTCTATGTTGGTCACCACATACCAGCCACAAATCCTACAAATACATACAAATTGACAATTTTTCCTAGGGATAGAAGGTTACTTGAATGATATTTCTGGAAATGGTACAGCGAGTTCCTAGACAGCAGGTACTCCTTCTTTCACTGTTGCCTGGCACCTATAGAATGATTGATTTAGTTTGTGATATATCTTCATCTCTTGAGATGACCTACAAAATTAAGTGCCAGCCTTGGCCACCTGTTCCCCCCCTCCATAAATTATACTGTTTCAAAGTTGAAATGTAAGCATAACATACTGAAAAGAAACCTTGAGTTTAATTTTTACTTATTGGCATATGTTTTTCTTATTCAAGAGGCATCCCTTTAGGTCTAAATTGCTATTTTGAGAAGATTGGAAGCTTTTTTTTTTTTGTACCAGGGATTGAACCCAGGGGTGCTTTACCCCAGAGTCACATGCGCATCCCCCCAGCCCTTTTTATTTTGAGACAGGGTCTCTAAGTTGCTTAGAGGATTGGAAGGAAGCCTTTAACTTTACTCAGTTCATCAAAGGAGAAATGGTATCTTGGTCTGGTGTGTCAAAGGTTTGAGGCCACACCTAGCCTTTCCTCCTAAGGAAAGCTGAACT